TTGGTTTCGATTACCCAGTTGAAGCCTGTTGTTGACACTGGGAAGCAATGGTTTAAAAGATGGATGGATCATCCACCCACAAATCTTGATCCGAATCGGAAGAATCGACAATCTGGATCGGCAATCATGGAATTTTTTTTTTAAAAAGGAACAAAAGTATAAAAAGTAAGATATATGATGTATATTTATAACAATTAAGCTAACACGTCGAATTAGTTACGCCGTGCGGTCCAGAAGTGCAAGGTCACAGGTTTAAATCCTTCTTTTTAAGGGATTATATATATGTATCTTATGGTTCAAATCCTCCCTTTTGTTATGAGTTTCGAATCCTCCCTTCTTTTTACGAGTTCCTTTTATGGGATTTATATGTATTTTCTCTATAAATACATTTGCATGCCATGGGAATCAAACCTCAAACCTCACTCTCAAGGTTGATGCATGTTAACCACTAGCGGCCTTTACATTTTTTCAATAGAGCTTATCTATGTTTATTATAATATACAAAATGTTAAAAAACCGATCTATCCCAAGAACCAGATTGGTCTCGAGTGATTTCCAATTTGGAGTGGCAATTTCTGATCCGGATCAATATTTCTTAAACATTGCTTATGAACATTCATGTCCAAATTGAGCATAAGCATGCAAGTAGCACCTGGTCCCAAATAAAATGGAAATAGATTATTCTTTAGATTTGGAAGTCATTTTGTTTTAAGAATTGATTGGGGACATGTTTGTGGCTAGACAAAGGAGATGTGAATTGATTTGCTTAAGTTGCAATGCCTCCATGGCTCCACTCACATTCAAATCTAGAAAAGTACGTAAATGCTTTCTTGATATGGAGCTTTTTAAGAAAAGTCAAGAATAAGTCTTATGTTCAAGGATGTGTAGTAAGTGACTAAATTTGATGGGATGAGCCGAAATCCTAAGCTTCTAGATTGATATATAGAACGATTAAGATTTGTTTGGCAGATCTACGAGCACGACCTTATATGTGAGGTAGATTCAAGTTAATTCTTTAGATCTTCTACTTTTGCCATAATTCCTTGTTTGGGAAACCTTCTTGAAAATCGACGTCCTAGGCCTTATGCATATAGGGTAGACATTTGTTCAGTCTGACCTTAAAGGTGAGATGGATCCTAGTTCATTCTTAAAGATTAAAATCTTCTATTTCTGCAATAATTACATGTATGGGAAACCCCAATGAACTTGACCATCTTGGTTTTATGTGTGTAAAGTGACATTTCTTCTAGTTTGATGATATGCTAATCCTTAATATGAGGAAGAACTATAGTTATTCGAATCGCGTACCAGGGTTGATTCTGGTTCGGAATCGCAATTCCATAGTTTCCAGAATCGAAAATAGGAATTGTGTTCCCCAGTGTCATGGAAAGTGTTCTAGATTATCATCTGACTCTCGATTCTTGGAAGTTTGGAATCTAGATTCCATATCACAAAATCTACGATTCATAGTTGCACAACAATGCGATTCAACGCGTATGGGACATTGATTCCAACTTTTTAAGAATTATGGTATTTGGAAGCGAGTTCAACATCATCAGACGGCCCAGTTCTTAGATGAACCGAATGATGTTTTGATCAACATTGAGTCAACTTCTAATGAAATACGTTCACAAATTGTATGTTGTGGGAGGAGCTCTAGGAACCGATTCTATGTTGCCGGAGGAGTTCGAAGAACCTTGTGTATCATGTTACAATTTTGTACAAGGTTGAATATCCATGATTTGGATTTCAAGACTGTGATGTTGTGAGAGCCAAAAAGCCTTAATAAACTTTTGAGATGAATCCATGCACAATAATCTCTGAATCCATGTACAATAATCTCTACAAGTTATCCAACAAATTTATCAATCTATAAGTCACAAAGTGGGTGGCAGTCCCACCTCAAGGTAAGATGTGGGTGGAAGCCCCACCTCAAGGTAAGACGTTCCTTTAGGATGCGTGCAATAACCAAATGCTTGTTATTGATCATTTACTGTACCAAGTAAAAGATTATGTGGGGCATGTTTGGTGGGTGATCAATAAAATACTTATTACTGATCATTTGCATTACTAAGTAAAATTCTTATCATTTGTTGCGTCATTGTATATTTGGTGGGGCATGGACTGGAACCCTAGAAGAAATAAAAAGAGAAGGAAATGGGTTAATGATGATTGAAAGCGTGGCCATGTGCGGTCTTTGGATTATGCGAAAAATGCGACATCTTATTATTTTAACCTAATACCAAGCTATGATGCTCTATGGTAATTACTTGGTTTTATATATAGCTAATTTGGGTTAAACTATGGTATCATCTATGTCTATCCTCGGTCATCTATGTAAAACTTTAAATCTTTGCTTTGCAAAATACTGCCCTGCTATATCGGAGGGAATGGGTGCACAATTCCTGAGTTGTGGGAATCTCGATTCCCAATCGATGGGGACAATGATTCTAGCAATGTAGGGCTCACGATTCTTATTTGTCGGATCGCGATTCCAGAAGTCATTCAACTGTATGGGGTTATGTGTGATTCCTAAAAGGTGGGAGACTCGATTCCAACATGATCGGATACCGATTCCTACAATTAAGAATCACAATTCCTATTTTATTGTATTGCGATTCTGATTATTAGGAATCACACCTCCAATGGTTTTATTGTATGAACGGTGATTCCGAGATTAAGAATCATCAGGCACATGCGACTCCGTGATTTGGATTCTTGAAACGCATCAGATTCACATTCATTTCCAACAACTAAGGAAGAACAGAGAACTCTTTAGTAAAATTCAATTCAGCATGGCAGGAATAACGCAAAGTCTTTCGTCAACTCCACTATACATTGAGTTGGATATGCATAAGCGCAAGAATATCCTCGTTTGGATGACTGTATGACATATCGCACAAAGCAATGGTATATTGAGAAAATTACTAATAATTTAACTGTTTTCCACAAGCAATACCAATGACAGTGCTATAATCAAGATACATAACTACAAAACATAATTGTATAGAACATGAGTTCATGAATCATGGTTAGTTGATTGTGATGTTCATAGAGGCCATTTGGATCTCCTAAGAGTCGCCAGTAAGGTTGAGTCATTCTTCCTAATTGCGGTCTGCCCAGCACTTAGGCGTTCCAGAGGGCCGAGTCGAGCCCAGGTCTAGGCGGCTTGCTCCTGGCAGCCACCTAGGCACTGGGGCACCCGCCCAGGTGGGTGCTAAGCGCTCAACCATGGTGGCTGCGCAGGGCCTGCGCCCCACCTATGGGCAGAAATGCCCCTCTTGAGGGGCAATTTTTGGGTTCTTTTAGAAAAATAAGAGGGGAAAAAGGTGGGTTTTAGATTCATTTCAAACCTAAATCCCATTAGAGCACATTTTAGAGGGAGGAAAACCTCAAAAAACTAGATTTTTGTGATTTTTATAGGATCAAAGAGCTTTTTAAAGTTACGAGAAATCGATCTAAATATCACCCATTGAGATCAGCTTTAGTTTTGGAGGTTTTATAGGTCTATTGGAGGGCTTTTTAGAAGACTTTGACCTTAAAAAACATCTCAGAGGTAGAAGTTTAGAGATCGAGCAATCAAAGCTATTGAAAGTTTTTTTTTTTCAAAAGGGTGTTGCTTGTATTATTTTGAGTTGTTTTCTTCGGGATCTAATAGAAGTGGTGATCCAGGTTAGAAATATGATTATAACCTGAATCATTTGGATAAAAATTGCATAAGATGCAATTATTGTGAAAAGGATACAAATGAGGGCATAATTCGTTTTAAGAAACATCTTGTTGTTATCAGTGGGGGATGTTGCCCCATGTAAACAAGTTTCTGATGCTATTAGAGAGGAGATAAAAAGTTTTATGAGTATTTTAAAAAAGAAAAAAAAGAGGAGAGAGGCATCCATAACAGAGCTGAGGTCTGGGGTTCGTGTCAATTTTGATGATGATGATAGTGTTTGGAGGGGTACAAAGAGGTAGAACAGCTTGGCCTATCCTAGACTATGGGGGAAGGGGAAAGGGAAAGGGAGTGGTACTTGGTTCTGGGAGTGGGGGGTCTAAGAGACCTCGGGTTTGAGGGCCTATGGATTGTCTTTTGAGTCTTCAAGTTTATATTTCTTTCATTTTTGTTTTCCGCTTCTTGGTTGTGTATTGTGGTTTGGTTTGTAAACTTTCAAGTTTTAACTACATGTGGATTACGGATGATTGGATATGGACTTATGGTGTATGTGGACTATAGACATTTGATGTGCCCCCTAACTCTTATGTGTTATTTCTTATTTACTTTAATTTTCTTGATGATGAATTGATGTTTTGTTAAGTTGCTATCTTGGATTATGGACTAAAATATAACTCAATATGTTTTTAATATGTCTCAATGTGAAATGCATGGAATTATGGACTAAAATATGTCTCAATATGTATTTTTTAATTTTTTACACAAAATCTGACCCTTAAAACAACTTTTCTTTCTACTGGGCCGCCTAGGTTTTGGGCACCCACCTAGGCTTTGGGCAGCGTGGATCTCCCCGGCTGCCTAGGTGCCACCCGTTGGAACACTGGGCTGACTTATATGCATGTGCTGTTCTATTTGAATCATTGTGCAGTGCTTATTGCTACAACAGTCCCCTTGTGTATGTAATGGTTAGGGTTGAAACTTATAATACCTGGTTTGCCCCATTCGCCCATAGAGCTGTTTGGTGTGGTAACTTATTCCACATTCAAACCAGGCCAAAGTTTGTGAATCCATTGAAGTAGTGTGGTTGCTACATCCTTTGCTGAATGCTTATTTTTAGCTTCCAAATTTTTTTTTTTTCCAGATTCTGTTCTTGCTTTTGGTATAGTATTTTTAGTTTTGTATTTGATTTATTTGGTTGATTTATATATATATATCTTCCGTTGATCTTATTCATCATTTTAATTTGGCAAAGTATGTTACTTGACCTGTGGCCACCAAATTAATAACTACAATGAGATCTTCTTATTTCAATCTTTGACATGCATTTCTGCAGGACCTTCGTAAGCCAGATTGTAACAGGATACCTTCCTAGTGTCATTCTCCAGTTGTTTCTATATATTGTTCCTCCAACAATGATGTTATTCTCAGCAATTGAAGGTCCAATATCTCATAGTGGAAGGAAAAAAAGTGCATGTTGTAAAGTACTCTACTTTACCATCTGGAATGTGTTCTTTGTGAATGTGTTGTCTGGATCTGTCATTAGCCAGCTGAATGTGATATCCAGTCCGAAAGGGATACCTACTCAGCTTGCGAAAGCTGTCCCAAGGCAGGTGATTACTAATCTTTGTTTTATCTGTTTTTTGACTCATGCTAATTTTATATGAGTGAACTTGCCTGGTCAAATAGGTAAAATAAAAAAACATTCAAGCCAGCTTTTCAAAATTTGTGAGGAAATAAAAATAGACTGTCTTAAATGAAAATCACTGACTGATTATGACATTGGTCATACTACAATTCTGGCACACCTGAAAAGGCCATATATTTTGAAATCATTATAGGACATTATATAATGAAAAACTTGGATGCATCCTGACTTTTTTCATTTATAAAACTCAGCTAGTTAAGTACTGGGTGAGTTTTTCTGAATGAATTCTAATGTTCTGAATGGAAAGTATTTGAATAGATAATTTTGTTGTATGAAGAGATAATTCTATTTACCGCAGTTTTCAATATGAGGGCATAATTTTGTCACTAATAGTTTTTTATTGCGCTTTTTTTTCTATATTTGGACAACTGATGTTAATTGGATGCGTTGATCTTGTGTGTAATACCAGGGAATAACCTTTTCCCATTGCTGCAGGCAACTTTCTTCATCACTTATGTTTTGACATCTGGTTGGGCAAGTTTGTCGTCTGAAGTTGTGCAACTCTTTGCCTTAATTTTGAACTCGTTTAAAAGAGTATTTTGTGGAGGCAGTTATGATTCAGATTCCACGCCAAGTTTTCCTTATCATACAGAAGTTCCTAAAGTTCTCCTTTTTGGACTCCTTGGATTTACGTGTTCAATTTTGGCACCCCTAATACTGCCATTCTTGCTGGTGTATTTTTTTCTCGGCTATGTCGTCTATCGTAATCAGGTAAGTGTCAAATGTTTTTGGTCCTTCTAATATTTTTATCATCCTACAATAATGGTTTTAGAACAAGTTCTGTGGCATTTTTGTTACTAAATGACACCCTAAGAAATGTTTCCCTTCCGTTTGAGTATTTTTTTCGTACTTGTAAAACTTTTGTCATTTTAGAGAGAATATTTTTAGAACAAGCTCTTTGGTGATTGTCTCCGAGTCCGAATGACACCCTTGATGTATGCTTGATCTTTTTGTCACCTAAGAAAGTTAACTTGTTATTGGAAGTAAAATTATTGGTGTAGATTTATTTAAAAATAAAATGTCTTATGTTATTATAAAATCCATGAAACTGTTTGGTGGTCTACTGCAAAACTGTTGTCATGGAGGCCTGATATACCAACAATCACCTGCATACTATAGCCTCTCCTTATTGTTAAAAACATATGCTCCTGTTCATCTTGGGTGCGTAATCAATTGCTTTGTTCTAACATGAAAATTTTAATTTCAAAGGTTTTTTAATATTTTGTTCTTGACACTAGTAATTTCACAGTTTTTAATGGAATTTGGTTTCCTTTCTTGAACTTACATGTGCGATACGCCTTAGGGAGGATCAGCACCCGCATAATGCATTATGCAGCTGCATTGGGTAACACTGACAGAAATTTATCTCATATTAACATATGACACCAAGTAGACATGGTGAGGAGTATGTTGTTTTTCCACAATGGTAGTTGCTGAAAATGTTTGCTTCACTGGTTCTATGCCTAAGCAGGTGTGTGTCACATGAGTTTTTGAAATGATGTTACGACATTTTTTTTTCTTTCTATTAGTTGGAAATATTATGGATTGATGCAGCCATGCCCCTTCGTGATTGGGCCAAAGAAGGGTCGCAGAACCCAAAAGGGAAAGAAAGGGCAATGATATAATAAGGAGAAATTATTAGGGTTATTTATTTGAATTATTTTAATTATTCTTTTGTTTAGGGAGTGCATAGGGATAATTAGTTGGGCGACTTTAGAGTTTATATTGTGTTTATCTTGTATCGATTGGGTTAGTTTGAGGGATATAATTAGGATAAGGGCAAATTTAGAAGAGAGTTTATCTTTATCAACAATAACCAACTTGGAAGGTTGTTTTTGGATAAAACATGAGAGAGAAACGTGGTTTTCTAGAATCCCATGAATATGAGAGAGAGAAAATAGGGATAGGTGTAGAGAGAAGCTTTTTATTAGTTATCTTATTTAAGTCTATTTAAATGGACATCTTCTTTCATTGTAATTAGTCTATGAATTGAATAAAAATTGGTCTCTTGGAAAAGATTGTTTTGGGGGTGGATTCCCTTGCAGACCTTTGAGAGAGGGTATTTTTCTCTTAACCTTCCTTCTTTTTATTGTCAATTTTCTGGTTTTATTCTCTCCCTGCATCAATTGGTATCAGAGCGGGTTCCGATGGCTTCACAAGAGACACCCCTCGATGGATTAAAGGTATTGACTGGATTAGTTCAAGCCTTAGCAGAGAGAGTAGGCCAATTCATGCCTGTAGCTGTGAAAGTTGATGAGCTTACGCAAAGGTTCGCTCAGCTTCTGGATGGAAGGAATCTGGAGACCGGCGTTGGAACTCAAGGCAACAAAGATGAAAGAGGTATGCATCTTGTTCCTAACCAACCTCGGGTGGCCTCGGCTAATAACGAATTCTATGAACGAATTCTTCGGTTGTTGGAAAGCCAAAGAGAACCTGGAATAAAAATTGGTATTCCTGAGTTCTATGATCGATTGCATGCAGATGATTTTCTTGATTGGCTAAGTAAAGTAGAGAAAGTGTTTGAGTACAAAGATATTGCTGATCACAAAAAAGTAAAATTAGTAGGCACAAAATTTTTTGGCCATGCATTGGTTTGGTGGGATGATTTGCAACAAGATCGTCTTCGACAACCCAAGGAAAAGATTAATTCGTGGGAAAAGATGAAGACGAAGATGCACAGAAAATTTTTACCAGTAAATTATGGCCGAACTTTGTACCAAAGGTGTCAAAACTTCAAGCAAGGTGAGAAGTCGGTAAGTGACTATATTTAAGAGTTTTATAGTTTGACATCTAGGGCAAATTTACAAGAGTATGAAGATCAAAAAAATAAGTCGTTACTTGAATGGGCTAAATCAAGGCATTCAGAATGAATTGGCCTTCAAAGATGTCTATAAGATGTCTGATGCCTATACTTTGGCCCTCAAAGCAGAGGAAATAGTCAATCTGGGCCTTGAGAGAAATAGCTCAGTGACAAGAGGCTCTATTTCAATACAAGGGTAGCAAGCTTTAACCTTTAGAAGACCACTTATAAGGCGTGGAAACCAAACCTCTCATAATTTCCCAACTAGGCCAAACCCTAATATGGGGAGAGGTGGTGTTGGGAGAGGGTTGGGAGCACCTAAAAAACTTCGTGATAATGCACAAATAGTGTGTTTCAAGTGCCAACAGCCTGGACATATGACATTCAATTGCCCCTCACGTCAACTCCTTGTCAAAGTTAATTTGGCTGAAGAAAATTATGAAGAAGAAGTTGATGAAGGATACACCTATGAAGGCTAAGGTGATATTGGGACGCGTCAGTCTTATGAAGGATTGGGCCTTTTAAAGGTGAAGCTGAGGATTTGTCTGGAGATGAAGTGGGTGAAGTCTTAGTTGTCCAGCGAACTATGTTATCAACCCCAATACCTAACGAGGATGAGAAGTGGCGGCGACATAATATTTTTTGAACAATTTACACATCAGGAGGCAAGTTATGCACTATACTAATTGATGGTGGGAGCAATAGAAACATTGTGTCTAAAGAGATGGTGGTTAAACTTCAATTGAAGGAACATAAGCACCCACGCCCATATCACATCCAGTGGTTCAAGAAAGGAGGTGAGGTACCAGTTCTTACTCGTTGTTTAATCTCTTTTTCCATTGATGCTAATTATAAAGATAAAGTGTGGTGTGAGGTAGCAACTATGGATGCATGCCACATATTACTTGGTAGACAATGGCTTTATGATCATGATATGGTATATAAGACTACGCCAAACACTTATTCTTTTGTTAAGGATGGTATTAATATAATACTCCACCCTATGAAGCAACTTCCTACTCCCAAATCCACTAAAGAGGAGGGTTAAAAGTTGCTTAATGTTCAAAAATTAAAAAAGGACAGCAAGGATATGGATGTGATTTATGTATTGGTTGCAAAAGAAAATTTTGCACCGACTGCAATTCTTAGGTCTCTTGAACCTCTACTTGATAAGTATAAAGATTTGATGCTTGAAGAATTACCTGATGGCCTTCCTCCAATGAGAAATATTCAGCATCACATTGACTTGGTGCCCGAATCTAGCCTACCAAATTTGGCCCATTATCGAATGAGCCCCATGGAACATGAGGAGTTGCACAGACAAGTTGTTGCTTTGCTTAAGAAGGGATTGCTTTGAGAAAGCATGTCACCATGTGCCGTCCCTGCATTACTGATTCCAAAAAAAGATTGGTCATGGAGGATGTGCGTGTGCAATCAACAAATTCACAATCAAGTACCGATTTCCCATACCTAGACTCGATGATATGTTAGATATGCTTAATGGAGCCAAGGTTTTCTCAAAGATTGATTTAAGGAGTGGGTACCATCAAATTCGGATTCGTCCTACAGATGAATGGAAAACTGCATTCAAAACTCGAAATGGAGTATATGAGTAGCTTGTGATGCCATTCGACCTTTCTAATGCACCAAGTACATTCATGTGCCTAATGACTGAGGTACTTCGTCCTTTTATTGGCAAATTTGTTGTGGTTTATTTTGATGATATCTTGGTTTTTAGTGCTAATCCACATGATCATCTTAACCACTTGGAACAAGTTTTTGATGTGCTAAGGAAGGAATCACTTATTGTGAATTTGAAAAAAATGCTCATTTATGACAAACAATGTCGTCTTTCTGGGGTATGTTGTTTCATCTGAGGGAAATAAGGTGGATCAAGAAAAAGTGAAAGCCATAACTGAGTGGCCAGTGCCAAAGTCACTCATTGAGGTGGGTTCCTTTCATAGCCTACCGACCTTTTATCGTTGATTTATCAAAAATTTCAGCACTCTAATAACACAAGTGACTGATTGTATGAGGGCTGAAAAGTTTTCATGGAGTCCCGCTGCTGAAAAGAGCATCACTCTAATTAAACAAAAGATGATGCAAGCACCAGTACTTGCCTTACCATATTTTTCTAAGGTGTTTGAGATTGAAATTGATGCATCAAATGTTGGCATCGAGGCAGTTGTAAGTCAAGAGGGATGACCATTGGCCTTCTTTAGTGAGAAATTGAATGATGCATGTAAGAAGTATTTGGTTTATGATCTCGAGTTTTATGCAGTTGTGCAAGCCTTACGCTACTGGAGGCACTACCTGATTCATAGAGAGTTTGTTCTATACTTAGATCATAAAGCATTTCGGTATTTGAGTTCCCAGAAAAATTTGAATGCACGACATGCTAAGTGGATGGCCTTCCTTCAAGAATACACCTTCCTATTAAAGCACAAGGTTGGAACCCAAAATAAGGTAGCTGATGCTTTAAGTAGAAGGGTAGTGTTGCTATAAACTTTGTCTATGGAAGTGTTGGGGTTTGAAGTGATAAAAGATCAATATAAAGTTGAACCAGTTTTCAGCAAGATCCTTGAAAGGTGTGTTGATGGGCGAGACCCTATAGTTGAGTATCTCGTGCATGATGGTTGTTTATTTAAAGGTGTGCGGTTATGTATACCTGATTGCTCCTTAAGGGAGAAGATAATCATGGAGCTTCATGGTGGGGGCGTGGGTGGACACTTTGGGAATGACAAAACTATGGCTATGGTTGGAGAAAAATATTTTTGTCCACGTATGCGACGAGATGTTGATCTATTTGTGACCAGATGTCTAACTTGCCAAGTATCTCAAGGTCACACACAAAATACAGGTCTTTATACTCCTCTTCCTGTTCCAAATGCCCCATGGGTTGATATTTCTA